TTACCCCGGTTTTCCAGGCTCTTCCAGGGCAGGACATGCTCAGATCTGGCCTCCCTCTGCCCAGCCTTTTCCTTCCCCAGCCAGAAAACCTGCCTCTCTGACTTCTTTTTGCCTCAAGACCTGCTTCCTGACAAGATGGGTGTTTCCCACAGCAGGTTCATCATCAAAATCCTCTGGGTGCTTATTAAAAATAGAGATGCCTGGTATCTTTCTTGGAGGCTCTGTTTCATGGATCTGAGTGGGAACCAGAAGTCTCTTTGTTTAACAAGCTTACTGTGTGGTTCTGATAACTAAGCAAGTTAAGGGAAAGATATTATTTCCCAAAAGTTTTTGACCTGTACACCCCTTTCATGTAATGTATGATCTGAAAAATCTCCTTTAACATGAAAAAGTTTATTATTTTTACATGCTGTTGACTAAACAGTATTCTAATTTTAGTAACATATTTTAAATCAATATATCAAAAGATGTCTTACAAAGTATTTCTACTATAATATTAATATTAATGATCATAATTGGGTTGATGCATTTTCACTTTTTCTCATTTAACAAGTAGCTTGTGCTATTTATACAGCATATTTTAATTTTACCTGAGTGTCAATCTAAATAACAAAGACCCTCCAAAGGTAATGAATTTATTCAGGAATGAGCATTGCAGTGTGGAATACACGTGCAGGATTCATACACATGGAATACATGTAATACTTATTCAGGGAGGAAAAGGAGCACAAATTTTTTAAAGGTAAAATGAGGAAGTTACATCAATTTTTCTGAAATAAATAATTATTCTTGTCTACCAGGATCAATAACAAGAATGGCATCGGTCCAAAGTTGGACAAGCAGTTTCTGGGCAGATGTCCTTATAGAGGTATTTTTTGGTTGTGGTGGTGTTTGTGCAAGGTTGTGGTTTTAGCAGAGTCCTTTGTAATATTTCTTATTATCAGGCAATCGTGTATGAGAACTCTTTCTCCATGGCGTTTCCTTGGCTCTATTTTGTCAGGTTTAACACAAGTGACTCCATGTTGATTCTGGACAACTTCCTTTTATATGAGGAAGCATAGTTTATTGGCAAACCAACCTTAAAATGCCCTGTTATATTGTATTTGGTTTGGGCAAACAGCAAATATTAAAATGCTGCTTGAAATTAATCATGTTTAAGGTGTCAGAAATGGACCACGGACTCAGTTTTTTTAATTTTTACATTTTGTTTGAAAATAAGAGAGAAAATGTTTCTTTTGTAAAGTTTTATTTTCAATAAACAGAAAAGCAATTGGATAGAATAGTCATGTGTGTTTTCTCTTTTAGACAGGTTTTGAGATACTAGAGACTTTGGTGTCCTTTAAGAATTTCAACTCAATGAATGTAATTGGTGAAATGTTTGAGGCTTATTTGAAGAACAATTATGTTATTTTCTTCTTAAACTTGACTTAAATGTCAGTATTCCAAATGTCATGTTTACTTAACCAATGGCCGATTCTGGGTGTGTAGAAAACTACATAAAACTAAGATTAAGAATAACATAAGTTTGGTGCCATGGTGTGCCAGCAACTCAGGAGGCTGAGGCATGAGGATCACTTGAGCCCAGGATTTTGAATCCAACTGGTCAATGTAGCAAGACCTTGTCTTAGGGGCAAAAAAAAAAAACCAAACAAAAAAAAACAAATAAACAAAAACCCAAACACACACACACACACACACACACACACACACACACACACACACACAAAAGTTTTGTGGCTGTCAGAAGCACCCTGGCTAGCTGTCTCCGGCAAACTAGATGATGAAATCTGAGCCACTGAGGACCATGTGGTCTCACTCCTGAACACTCAGAAGCCACAAGCTCTAAGGGGACACTCTGGCAACAATTATTGTATTTATTTGTCCCGGCCCTCGGGACCTTCTGTTACTCGCGGGGGTCAAGGGGGACCGTGCCTGAAAGAGATGGGCGAGAGAAAGGAACGAGACCAAGCAAATGGTTGTCAAGGTCTGCTTTACTTAGATTCTTAGTAGGTTTTATAAGCATACAGAAACAAGGAAGTAGAAACAAAAAATAGAGTGGGGCTACGATGAGGCTTGGGTCTGGGTTAATCAGCCCCAATCAGCGTCTTATCGGTATCCTGTTTGTGACTGGTTACTCATCTCCAACCTGGCAGGTGGTCGGGAACAATTGCAGTCAGCACTCCCTGGAGCATCCCGTGGTCAGCACGTCATGGGATGCATTCTTCTCGGAGCTATAGCTGGAATTTTCCAGGGCGAAGTCCATGCGTAGGACGAGTCATAGGGGAGTTGAGGGTCTTTGAGGGTCCTTGCCTCTAACATTTATTCATCATTTTAAATTGAAAATAGAAGCAGGTGCCATTAGCACCTTGGTTGCAGGAACTCTCTCAGAACAATCTCGGAATGCTGGTGGGGAACCGAAAAGAGAGAGGCTGCTCCGTGGCTCCTGGTGTGTCCGCGAGGGCTCTCAACCCTTATCACCCACTGGAATTGTTAACTGAAATGATGGAGCTCTTGCATTTGGAAAGGAGACCTTGGTTTCTCATGCGGAGTTGCAGCCTACAAGTGGCCATTCCAACTGCCTGGAAAGCAGAGGCCCAGCCAGAAGCCAGAACACCTGCTTCAAGGCAGGGACAATGGGAACAGGAATTTCTGCTGAGTGGGATGGCCAAATATAGATATTTAACAAGCTATAGGAGGAGTCATGAATATTAAAAAAAGGAGAAACATGCACTTTTATGCCCCTTTATGGGTCCATGTTCAAAAGGTGAGGTATGTCCAAAGAACATTGAAAAAAGAAAGACAATTAGAAAAAAAGAAAAGAAGAAAGAAAGTGAAGTAGAGGACATGGAAACCCTCTCTGTGCATGCCGCGTAGCCTGGTTAAAACCACTCCATGGTTGGTGGTCTCTCTCAGGAGAGAATGCTGGTCTGGATCACGAGACTGGTTTCTATTTAGCCCTTAGGAAAACGCCTGGTGGCTGTCAGCAAGGGAGGGGGTGTGATGAGCTGTGTCTGACCTCCCATCCCATCGTGGCTGGGATCTCAGCTTTCAGGTTTCTTTGGGATCCCCTTGCTGGAGAGGGGTATTTTCAGTCAGTTGGGGGCTTAAGATTTCATTTTAGTTCACAGAATCATCTGAGAAGCTTTTAAAAGACCAATGTGCAGGCCCTACCCCTGACCACAGGACAGAGATTTTGGTTGCAGCCAGAGCTGCCGAGATGATTCAAACGTGCAGCCAGAGTTGAGAACCACAGCCACAGCCGGAGGGACCCCTTCAGACATGATGGCAAGTTTAGTAGGGGGAGGTATTTTGGGGGCAATTAGGCCTTCCTAGGTCCTTAAATCTCATCACAAGATACTGGCCGTCTCCCCAAGTCCTCCCCTGCTTCATGTCTTCAAAGAGTACACAGTGGTGTGGATTATTAGCTCAAGGAACATTTTGGAAGCTTACCTGCAAGTTACTTGTAGGAAAAATTGGCAAATGCAGGCTTATGGTGGCTGGGACCCAAATCCCCGAGCATCACCATCCCACGCTGACCCCTCTCATGCCCCCAGTACAGAAGAGCTCTGAGATCCTGGTTCAGTAGGAGACTATAGGGGACCCAAGCCCTGCCCGCGCTGTGCTGACCACTGAACACGCGCAGATGAAGATGTGACCCCTGCCCCCGAGGAATGTCCACCCCGTCGCCGGTGGGTAATGAGGGAGCACAGCGGCTGTGCTGGGAGCTGTAGCAGAGGTGCCCACAGTGGCCGGTGGGCCTAGGCGTTGTCCAAATGCCGCAGGAGCCTCGCCCTGCTCCACTCCAAAGTTACAAGGGCAGAGAGTCCACATGCGAACAACTTCCCTCTCTTCATATATACGGACACGTTATATTTCACATGCATGCACACATACGTGTATTTGTGTATGTATAGGTCGTCTACAGAACAGATAAACATCCACAAAATATTCCATTGAAAACTCCTTTTCACTGCAAGAGAAAAGTTTGTTTCAAATAGTGCCAAATGTGTCGTCGTTGGAGTAGGGACTGAGGGAGAAAAGGCTAGAGAAGCGGGCTGCAGGAACTGTGGCAGCTTCGCTTGTCGGGCTGGTGGCTCTTTAGGCGTGTTACTCTGAATGTACAGAGAAGCTGACAGGCGCTTGTAAGTATGTGTGTGCATTGTGTGTTAGGTGTGTTGTGTGTTTGTGTTGCATGTGTTGGGTGTGTCCTGTGTGTAGAGTGTGTGTGCACCCACACTTGTGTTGGGCGTCGGCGTGGCAGGAGCAGACCCGTCCTGGTGTACACCTAGCGGGGCGCGGAGAGGTGCTGGTGGGGACAAGGTCGGCGGGCCAGGAGAGAGGCAGCGGAGCTGTGGGGCTGTGGGCTCGGGAAGTGCCTGTGAAAACAGAGGAGGGCCGCACAGGCACACGGAAAGGGCCGATGCCGCCATCTGGCGTGGACTGGGTGTGGGGAGGTGGAACGTTTCAAAGCAGCGTGAAGTTTGTTCCTCATGGTGAAGACACCCGCCCCAGGCGGGGGTATGGCAGGGAATGGGGGAGAGCCAGTGAGCTTGTTTGCTTTGTTTTTTGCTAGGTTGAGTTTGAGGTGCTGAACTTTTTTGCTTAAGGGAACTTGAAACTCAAGACTTTATTTAATTCTGTTTATTTAAAATATCAAAGAAACATAGTGAGAATATCGTCTAAGAGAGAGGAACGGAGGAAGAAATGCTTCAGCAGGGCAGGGCGGCCATGGAGTGGCCCCCACTGCGGGTGTCTGGAGGGAGGCCGTCAGACCCGGGACGCCACTGTGCCCCAGTCCTCCCTTGCCGGTGACCTGGTGGCGGCTGCCAGGCACGAAGGCAGCGGGCGGTGACACTTCTTTTCACGGTCCTGCGGGTGGTGGCCGCAAGGGGCAGCGAGTGCCCGGCGCCCTCTGACGGAATTCTGCTTCTGCCGAGCGCCGCCCGCGGGAGCCAGACGCCTGTGCCTGTCTTTTCTCCTCCGACAAACAGGCGGCGACTGCCGGCCACGCAGGAAGAAATGGCTTCCCACGCCCACAGCAGCCTCCCCGCTACTGAAAACTGGTCAAGAAGGCCACGTTTTTGTTATTGTTCTCTTTTTCCCACAAGTAAAGTGTAGTTTTCCTGCAGCGGCATGACGCCCCTTCCAGGACAGCAAAGCGAGGTGAAACCGGCAAGGCTGTGTGACCGCGTCCGGCTGACGGCGAGAGTCCGCGTCCAGCGCCAGCCCCGCTCCCGCCCCACCCGAAGAGCAGGTGTGTTCGTGTCAGCTCCGTTCCTCACTCACCATTGAAATCCTTGTCCATTTTTGAAACCATGTTCACACTAATTTATTATTTTTATACAACATCAGGGCATAAAATTACCTGCCATAAAATGGTGTGTGTGTGTGTGTGTGTGTGTGTACTTTGTTCTTCATTCAGCCAAGGGAACTTCATCTCTCAAGCTTCCCACAGGTGCGGACGCCAGCTGTGCTGTCCTGGCAAACCTGCTGAGATCCGGACAACATAAGGCTCCGAAAGGCATTCTGCCGTGGACTGCGGCATTGGTCGCCAAACTACAACGTTCTCGCTCTCTTCCTAGCACTAGGACTTGGAGCACTGGTTCCCAGCCCCACAGCCTCTGCCATTTAAAACTTAGCATAAAAGGCAATATCACAGTATCTGGCAAATGGCACTGACTCACATCCTAATTAATCCTGTAAACTACTTTACTGTGCTCTGCTTCAAATCCTGCATGTCCAAACCAGCCCGAAGTTACTTGCGGTGTCTGCATTTGAAGGTAAGCGGAGACTCTCTCCTTCTTGGAACACTAAGTAGCCGTCCTTTCTGCCCTGCTGGGAAAAAAAGACCCAAACTCTGGAATTACCTAGAAAGCTCTGCATGTGACCCGTCCTGCCTTTCTGCACAGCTGCTCAGCTGGGACAACAGTCTGCCCTTTGGCCCGGCTCCAGACCACACCTGTCAGAGCTGACCCGGGGGAGGTGGCTGAGTAGAAAGCTTTCCTGAGCTACTCCTTCCCAGTTGTCACAGAGCCAAGAACACTTCTGTGCCCAGGAGGCTGCCACCCACCGCTTTCTGCTCATTGCAAGGCCGACTCCCCTTGCCGCGGGCCGCAGGGCTGAGCGTCCGTGTGAGGGCCGAGAGGCCCCGGGCAGCGCGCTCACCGGCTCTCTTCTTCTGTCTGGTCCTACCTGAAGTTACTTACCAGCACTAATGAAACTTGTGCCACGAAATCTTCAGCAACACACCAGCACAGGCTCCGAAGGGTCATGGTGGCCATTTGCTGCAACGTGGGAGCACAGGGCCTGTGCCAGGGCCACCCTTTAGATCTGGGCCGGGAGATCTAGGGGCGCTGGGGAGGGCCGCCCAGGGCACAGAAGTGGGCTGTAGGGCGGGGCCCACAACTAACTGCCACTGGCCTGAAAGTGTGGCTATGTTTGAAGTGTCTCTGTGGCCTTACTGGGAAGGACGTGGGAAATTTTAGCAGCCCTGACTCTTTCCCGGCCTCTATTCTCCTCCCCCTTTAACCCCCTTCCATTCAAAGGTATCTGCCGGGCAACTGAAATGATCCGGGAGCTCCGCAGAGGACTAGATGACGGAAGACCAGTGAGCACGTCCTTGCCTATGCTCACGGGTGGATAGAGGACACTCTCCCCGTGCAGCAGGGCGGGCGCCGAGCGTGGACCACACGTGGTCCTCAGTCACCGCCACTCTGGAAGTGAAGGCCATGCGTGAGGACCGGACCTCACAGGTTGGCTCAGCTGAAGCCAGGAAAGGGCGAGCTGGCCAGGAGGGGTTTCCTGAGTGCAGAGCTGAGGCAGCCTGGGGGCACCGGTGGGCCCAACAGGTGACAAACGCAGGGAAGAGCATTCCGAGGGGCTTCCCCAGGGCTGGGCAGTAAAGGGCGCACGGACCGATGCTCATCAACTGGGCCACCTGGAGTGTGAGGCCTGCGGGGTGGGGAAAATGAGCCTGAGGACATAGGCAGGGGGCAACTCAGGAAGGGTTTTGTAGCACTTCAGAGACTTTCCCCCCCAATTTTTTTACAGTGGTAATAAAAATACACATGACGTAAATTAGCCCCTTCCCCATGTTGAAGTGGACAGGCGGCGGCGTTAGGTGCGTGCACGCTGCTGTGCAGCCGTCACCGCCACCCGTCTCCAGGACTCCTTAGTCTTCAAAACTGAAACTCTGTCCCCATTAAACACCCAGTCCCCATCTCCGCTCACCCCGGCCCCGAGAATCACCACTCTGCTTTCTGTCTCTGTGAATTCAACTCCTCTAGGAACCTCAGATAAGTGGAATTACTCAGTATTTGTCCTTTGTGACTGGCTGACGTCACTGAGCATGTTTCCAAGGTTCATCCACGTGTAGCAGCGTCCGAATTTCCTTCGTTTTTAAGGCTGCGTTGTACGGCTGGACCGCACTTTGTCCATTGATGGACATCTCATCCATTGATGGACACCTGGGTTGTTCCCACCTTTTGGCTTTTGTGACTAATGCTGCTGTGGACTTGAGTGTACAAGTATCTCTTTAAGTCCTGTCTTTCAATCCTTGTGGGTGTGTGCCCAGAAGTGGAATTGCTGGATCATGTGGCAACTCTACGTTTATTTTGCGAGGAACTGCCACACTGCACACCACAGGGGCTGCGCCATTGCACATTCCCCCCGGCAGTGCACAAGGCTCCATTGCTCCACGTCCTCAGGATCACTTGTTATTTTCTGGTTTTTTGATAGTAGCTATCCTAATGGATGTGAGTGTCTGTAACTTATGCTCAATACTACCATAATTGTTGAATCTGAAGTGTTTTTCATGCTACTCTTTTGACTTTCCTGTGTATTTGTAAATTAATAGAATGGGAGTGCAGTTAAAAAGTCTGTGTGCTCAGATTCAACAATTATTACTGTATAATTTACAGACACCATGATACTTCAGCCTGCGCCGTTCTGGAGAATTCGAACCTTGACTTGTTGGTAAAGGGGGAATCGTCAAATGTCCTCGACGACTGCAGGCGGTGGGTGAAGGGGAAGGATGACGACGAGCAGCGCTTGCGATGGGAGAGCAGCTCGGAGGCCACCGAGACGGCCGAGCAGCGTGAGGAGCACTGCTGAGGCCGGTGCCCAGCGGCAGACCTGGACAAGGGTGGTGTGCAGGAGCTGCGCTGAGGAGGCGGTCTCGGGACAGCCTCCGGGAGTGAGTGGGGAGAGGCTGGGCGAGGAGCAGGCGTGTCAAGGCTGCGCCCTCAGGCGGAAGTCCCCAGGAGGCAGCGCGGCCCGTGGGCGGAGGCGGGAGCACGGGGTGTGCCGGGGTCTCAGCTCCAGACCAAGCCGGGCTCTCATCCCGACACCCGCATCAGCAGTCAGTGTTGACGGTCCCGAGGGTGGGGGCCTGAACGAGGCAGGGAACTATGGGAGGGGCAGAGTGAGACGCTGGGGGCCTAGGGACCTGCCGGCGAAGCGAGGGAAAGAGGGAGTAGAAGCCAGGTGGGTCTCCTGTCAGGTGGTGGGAGCCACAGGACCGTTCTCCGACGGAGACGGAAGGGAGAAGCAGAATGGGGGGAAGAAATGATGGTTCTAGGTTGGCGCAAGTGGATTTCGAGGGCTCTGAGGGGACTGGGTGGAGGCCAGCGCAGGAGCGGGGGCAGGGCTGTGACGTGGGAGAGGTGGCGCGTCATGTGCCGCACAGTCGGGCCGCACAGTCGGGCCACACAGATGAAGAGACTTCGGTCAGGATTTCTGTGGATTCTCGGTCCTCCTGGACACGTGGGGGCTCGGTCACTGCAGGCAGACTGTCCCCAGGGAAGGGAGGAAGCAGATCACAAGCATTTGGGGGGACTGGCCATGAGGAAGCACAGAAGGCTACAGGAATCACAGCCGGCAGCCATCAACCCGGGCAGCACGGCCTGCACCGCGCGGAGAGAGCCTGCGCGGGCTCTGGCCGCCGCCCTGGGAGCTGGGCGAGCGATCGCTGCTCCCTCCGCAGACGCGGGACTCGAGCCATCAGGGCAGACAGCAAATGAGCGATGAAACTATTCTTCAATTCCCTGGTTTTATGAATGATCCCAAGTGGCGTTTCTCCAGGGAAGCTCTCCTACGTGGAATATCGCCTGAGCTTTCTCTAGCTGCTGCGTCATGCCTCGTGCTCCTTATGCCTAGCAAACGTCTGCCTGCCTGCAAAGGGTTTGTGTCTCCAGCTTGTCCTGAGAGCTGAGCTATTCAGTCCTACAGCAAAGGTCGCTACACAGTTTATTAAAAAACTGTTCACTTAAGGGCATTTACTCAGCACTTTTCACGACATGAGGAAATCTAGGCCACAGTATTTTGCAGACACTAGAACAGAGCATTTTTACACATCCAAATGGCTCCCAAGCACAGCCGCGTCAGCACAAATACACACGGGGAGGGCTCCAGCATGGGCCCCTGCGTGCATCATTCTGAGCCGTGTGTGAGAAGTGCTTCCTTATCCTCTGAGAGACAGTAGCTTTTTATAAACAAACTGCGTAGAAGAAAGGCGGAGTGATTTTCGTGTGTACAACAGATGTGACAAATATGGCTGTGGTGGCCGGTTGGAGAAATGTACACATTAGGAAGGTCTCATGGACCTTTGGCGCACTTTGTCCTGACCAAAAAAATGCACAAAGAATCACATTATTCTGCCAAAGGAGGTGGCACCATGCGGACGGGGAGTGGCAGGACGACCCTGTGTGTGGCCTGTCCAGGGCAGCTGTTGGAGAAATGCACACGTTGTCCCCACGTGGGTGATGCAGTGTGTGGTGACTTCTCTTTATGCTCCGCTGAGGTTTCCCATGCAGACTCTCGTCAGAGGAGAGACACTGACTTCCTGCCCAGGGCCTCCAAGCCACCCCCTTCCCCAGACTTGGAGAATAACGGGCCAGATGAGTCTCCCGAGGTAAGAACACCCACGGCCCTCACCTTGGGCTAATTGTGAGGCGATGGGCGCAGGTTTTAAGCCTGGGCCTGTGTAGAACAGAGCCGCCCCCAGGATGAACCTGTGGCTGTGACTTCATGGATGAGCAAGCGGAAGTTGCTTTCAGGGGCCCAAAGGTGTGTCTGAGCCGGGGGAGACCCCAGAGGCCAGAGCGCTTGTGGGCACGAAAGCAGCTGGGCCACGAAGGGGCCGCTGCCGCTCCAGGCCAGTGGGCCGCGCCCGCCCCCGCCCCTGTGCCCACGCCTGTCCCCGCGCATGCCCCCGCCCCTGTGCCCTCAGAGCCGCCCCAGGATGAACCTGTGGCTGTGACTTCATGGATGAGCAAGCGGAAGTTGCTTTCAGGGGCCCAAAGGTGTGTCTGAGCCGGGGGAGACCCCAGAGGCCAGAGCGCTTGTGGGCACGAAAGCAGCTGGCCACGAAGGGCCGCTGCCGCTCCAGGCCAGTGGGCCGCGCCCGCCCCCCCCCGTGG